ATATATATATATATATATATATATATATGTGTGTGTGTATATATGTACATTATAGTATATGTGTATGTAATAATAATAGTAATAATAATAGTAATACTAGTAATAATAGTAATAATAATAATAATAACAGTAATAATAGTAATAATAATAATTGTAATAATTGTAATATATGTTATTAGTATTACAATATAATATATGCATTTTATACATTGGTGAGCATGGGACTAGTTAATCCTCCCTTTTCACATGGGTTTAGTAGTCCCCTCCTAAGGAGGTGTTTTCGGTGGGCTTGGTATTAGCAATCTCATTTAAGATTAGGATTAGATGAAATAAATATGGTATTAAATTTAGTCCAAGCCAAGCTTGTGTAACAAATGACCCCGCAATTGTCTGCAATTGAAATTATTCTCATAACCATTCCTTATAAGTAAATATATTCCTTTTGTTTACCTTTGCAATAGTCCTTAAAAGATGTTGGGTCTCTTCATCCATTGGCAACTGATTTTGGGTTGAATGTTCACATTCTAATATGGTATTAGAATAGTGTATCCATGTGGTGAGTCCAACAGTTCACGTGCTCTCATATCACTCAATATAATGACGTCACACATGAGGAGGCGTATTGAGAGTGTGATCCCAAGGAATTAAAGTATTGCATAATAATTTAAAACATCTCGGACCTGTCCCCATTGCCAATTAATTTTTTTGTTATATTCTCACATTTACTGGACCATTGAAAGTTTGCTTATTAGTAATGCATGCCAGTCCAAGCCCTTCTATGTGCAACTCTAAAGCCACAGTTATTGTAGCATCACCAAGTGCACCAGGAAGACTCTACATAACCCAAAAGAAAATACAAAATGATTAAGAAAGAAGGAAAACTTGATTGAACAATTTCATTTGGAAGGCATATTATAAATACAAAAATTCTGCGACAAATGAGACAAGAACATGTGTACAAAATAATATTTATATTGAATGAATTTAGGATTACAATCTCCGTGGATATTATTTACAACAAAAAAAAAAAATCCTTTGATTCAATCTCCCATTTAGGAATTTGAGATTTGGTATTGAGGGCTGTGAAAAAACCTTTGATTCGATCTCCCATATAGGAATTTGAGATTTGGTATTGAGAGCCATCACGGCTTGATCTCGAGCACGTCAAGATCACAAGTAGTGTCATGTGGTGGATACTCTTCGGCTTTAGCGGTGAAAGAAACGTATTTGTTGTGCTTGGCGATTCTCCACGAGCTTGATGAATTATTTGGTTAGAGAGCTTTCTAGTTTTTCAAAGCGTTTGTAAACAGAGTATTGGGTCTTGGTTTGGAATCACCAATCTGAATCCCTTGATTTGTGAGATTTAATTATGATTTAATTTAGTTTCAGTAAATTGATTTAATTTAGCTCTTAATCAAATTCAAAATCTTTGATTTTAGGAAATTAACTCATGATTTAGTTAGGAAAATGACCAATTAAGGATAATTTATTCCTTTTTTGGTTGTAATTTCTTACGTATTGCCGTGTGATTTTGAAGTGAGTTTTTTTTTTTTTTTTTTTTGTCAAACGACGGAATAAATTTATTATAACCGAATTGGAATGTTTACATCAATAGCAAGAGTGTCGAACACCCACTCAAGCCAAAATTGATCTCATTTAAGCTTCCCATCCTTATAAGATACATGTGCTGCTACCAGATGAGCAGCTGCATTGCATCTACGATTCACAAAAGTAAAAGATACCTGGCCCACATGAGAAGCCAGTACCTTAATATCATGAATAATGCTCTCAATAGAAGTATTCATCTTCATGTCACCCTGCAACATTGCAACAAGCTGTTTATAGTCTGTCTCCACCATCATCCTAGTAACCCGTGCCTCTAAACCTGCTACCATAGCCTCCTGTACTGCTTCCGCTTCCGTAGCTAGAGCCGGTTGACCCAAAAAACCCTCAACACCTCCAGCCATTTCCATCCAGCCATTACTATCCCGAGCCACCCATCCTGCTTCACCCCTCATTTGCGCTTGTGTCCAAGCGCCATTGTAATTAAATTTCATCCAGCTAGCAGCCGATTTTTGCCAGGCTTGGAACTCACTACGGTCCCACTCTGGAGGTCTCGGTTGATCATTTATAAGAGGTATACTCGCCTCTTGCCGCCACAAAATCCACAATTTGTGAGAACAATATCCTGTGGATTCATATGATGCCCCTAAAAAATTGCAGCATTTTGATTCTTCCATAACCTACATAGCCCAAAAGCCAACCATTACAAAATTTCCTGATCATTGTTTTCCCTTTTATATTTTTGAAGTAAGATATTCCTCCATGAGAGAAAATCCCCTTTTTCGAGCAACCTCGTATCTAACTTCAAAGGGCTAGTGAACCAGAATACCCTTGCGAACTCGCAATGGAAAAAAAGATGTACCTGACATTCCCCACCACAACCACATCGAGCACAAACATCCTCAAGATCCACATGTCTTCGTTTAAGATTTTGGCGAACCACCGGAGCATTCAAACAAGCTCGCCAGATGAAGCTTCGAATCTTCAGCGGTATCTATAAACTCCAAATATAGATAACAAAATCAAACGATAATAGACTTTTCTTTGATAATAGGATAAAAGGGTACACATTTTTAATTGATATGAACTAAACATCTCGAAAAATTCAATCCTCTCGAAATGCTCATTCCACCAACACCATCTTTTCCTAAGTACCCAACAAAAACATATGGGGACGTCTACTGAGGAACATCACATTTAGGGCCTGTTTGGAAGTGTTTTTGGAACATTTAAAAGTGCTTTCTAACAACCAAAAGCGCTTCTGACAGCGTTTGGCATAAAAGTTTAGAAGCGCTTTTGGGCCATAGAAGCGCTTTCTGGAGAAGCACCTGCCATGTGCTTCTTCAAGAAGCACTCCTAAGTGCTTTTCCAAGAAGCACTTCGATTTCTTATGAAAATTTCAACATCTTTATAATAAAAGCGCTTTTGGTATAAGCGCTTATAAGTAAAAGTGTTTCCTAGAGAAGCAGTCCCAAACGAGCCCTAATTGTTGGATTTGGCAAACATGTTAAGCTCAATAGTTACTTCACGTGAATGGAGGAGGAGCATTTCTCTAAAAATACATTTTACTAAATGCACCAATTAATATTCCCAAAATTACCTAGAAAACCCTAAACCTCTTAGCCAAACCCCCTTTTAGTCCCGCTGCTGACAATTCCTTTTGGCGGATAATCTGTGTAAAACCCAAAAATGGGGCTAAGACCCATCTGTAAGTCCTCAAAGTTGTCTTAATATGCTCTAGCCTTAAAATGAGGTAGCCTCTCCTCCCCTCCCCCCTAAACTTTTGTTTAAACCTCCAAAAAAAAAAAAAAAATCTCATAGGTGTATGTGTAATTTAATATTTGAAGTCAAATTTGTCATATTTAGAGAATTTTTTTAATGTTGTCAGTAATATTTGTAAATTGCCAAACCTTGGTACAATAAGCTAGTCTCACAGTTCACGAAAGCATATTGCTTCTTGAGATGTGGTAAATCCCCAAAATCCAAAAATTGCTTCACAGTCCTACTGTCGAAGGCCACGCAGGGTTACTACTTGAAGTTTTATATTTTTCAATGTAAATATGTTTTCTTATTTATCATTTTTTATTTCCTTTGTGGAGATTATTTTGTTTGAGTACAGGTACAGGTTTATGTTATTTGCTTGTTTTATCATCTACTGTGCATTTGGCAGTTGTTTCTAACCAAGTTTTTACAGTCAGATTATTTTAGACGCACTTGTTTTGTTTCCAGGGTTTAATTGAGGCAAGTTATTTAGCATACGACATAGTTAGATGTAGGTTGACAGTTGGTGTGTGCAGATTTTGATGCTTTTCTTCTTTTGATCTTGTTTTGTTTATTTGTTCACCCTGACTGGATTCAAGGAAGGCGTCTTTTAATTAACATTGCGCTATTGTTTCTTGATATTCACATTTGACTTATGGACGAATCTCATATGTATTATCTTAATGTTTATTTCGTTTTGAATAAAACATTTTCTCCAACAACAAAAAAAAAATTTGTATATGAATGTATACAACGTGTCAAAGAGTATGTACATTTTAGTTTTACATATTACAAGTAAGGAGATTCGAACTCAAGTGCAGAGTCCACTCTAACAAACTTGACTAAGCCATTAGGGGCGGCTTGGAGTGGTGCAAGTGGCCAAAAAAAAAATCTTTATATTATATATATTAATATTACAGTAATTGTATATATACTTTAGCGTGCTATATGTTGACACAAAAGTGTGTGTAACGGAGTTGGCTTTTTAATGCAGATACCTTAATAGAAGGCCCGGGTTTGAGTTTCATTAAAGGCATTCTTTTTGTGTTTTTTATTATTTTTGCATTATAACAACAAATTTTAAATAACTATATATCAATCTCTTTTGTTCCAGTATCAAAGTACTTTCTTCCACAAAAAACTTCATGGCTTCGTCTTTCTCTTGAACTCTGATTTTCTAGTGAATAATAATCATCATTCATCAATTTCTTCAGTTCTTTTTTCAATCCTTTGACAATTTTTGTTATTCTTTCAATTTCAGGAATTTCAACACTAAAATCCTAAATTCATAAAGACCACTCAGAATCATGTAGTCATATTCAATCAAATCTCTTTTCAAATCCAGGTATTTATCTAAATTTCAATATATATATTACATGATTTATTTTATTAAATTATTATCATGTTGATGATTGGTTATATAAGAAAATATAGTTTTTAGAAATATTTATCTATTTCTTGTGGGGTTATCTTTCAGGTTATAGGGTTTTGAAATTTTTCTTTGTAATCTAAACATGCCACCTACTAGAAAATACGTTTCTAGATATACAAAAAACGACTTAGAAAAATAAAAATCGAGGAACTGACTCAATCTCAAAGATGAGCTCTAGATAGATTCATTGTTAAAGAATCACATGCTACAATTGATGAAAATATTTCCAATGAACAACAACAAGATGATGTTGAGGAATTGCAAGATACTGAAAATAATATGGATGATTGTGTGGATAATGTTGAGCATAATGATAATGATGATAATGAAAATGTTGATATCGATGACAAATGTTGTTTTATGACATTAAGGTATGACAAATTTTTTTATTTATAGTATTTTCGTATTAGATTATGTGAGGCCCCAATTTAAGTTTCGCACAGGGCCCTCAAGACTTCAGGAATGGCCCTGCAAGCCATGTCTTCTACCATATGGTCCCATTTGTTTTCTTGGTTATGAATTTCCTTGTGACCCTATAAATTCGTATTTGTTGTTAGCCCAAAAAAACGTGTTCATACCCCATGACGCGTATGAAAACAGACCTCAAAAACATGAAACATATGTGGAAGCAATATTGTCTTTATTTGTACTGTTGTGTCCTTTCAAAAAGAAGTTGTCTGTCTCTAGTATTGTTTTTATTGAGAGAAGTCCCAAGAACATAACCTCAACTCAAGCATCTCACTCACGAGTAATTTTGTATGTTCTGGGATCACGTGATTGGTGTACCATGTAATATACATGAAACATGTGGATTTATATATTTTGGTATCTTGGAGATTTAGCTCAAAATGTAAAGAATGATTTGAATTCAAACATTCATTATAATATTTGATGTTTCCAGAATGGCTCGATTACTGCCGTGTTCTTTCAAAACGAAGTTTTTTTTTCTTTATTTATTTTTTGTTGCTATTGAGGGTAATTTAAGATACTTCTAACGATGGCAAACGTAGGTTAGGCCCTAATTGCACCTAAGTTTGAACTCCTTCCCCGTAGATTAGATTTTTAAAAAATTCTAAGAATGTAATTAACCTCAAGATCGTTTGGTTGAATGAAACGTATCTTGCAGAGAACAAGAGAGATTTGTTAGAGATTTGTATTCAAACTTTGAAGCCTTATAATATTTGATATCAATGGCTCGTTTTACATACAATGAGACAAAATTTCGATATTTATATTCAACCCATGCAATAAGAAAATGAAAGACTACGAATTCTATCCGTTGGGAATATATTCTTCCACGACTCATTGCTCCTTCTTATCCTCATCATCGCTGTGTGTTAACAGCTTTGACATTTTACTGGATTGTGAATTTCTAATAGGTTGGAGCTAGAATTATAAAACTGAGGGGCGAAATATAAATATTAGTTTGAAAATTACATACATATTCAAAACTCTTACATATTAAAGCTAAATAATTTTCAGTTCTTCATGTACTAATTTGTTGGAGGGGGCATGTACTTCAATTTGTGAGAATGTAAAGATGAAAATGTCCTAGATTAGAAATTTAGAAAACCTTGTAAAAGCTTATAAGGTGTACTAGCAGGGACATGTGTATGTAGAGGCTGTATGGGCTACAACCCATATGAATTTTTTTTTTCATTATTAAATATCATGTAGTCTTCTGTACCAAAAAAAAAAAAAAAATGTTGTCAAATAGCCACAGCCCATCCCAAATTTGAAACAAGGTCAACCCAATACCTATTGTTTGTTGAGGTAATCTTCACTTAGTTACTAGGGATTTTGGTTTTTTTTTATTATTTTTAAAAATCATAATAAATAAGTGTTTGATGTTAACTCTTCTTGCCTCATAATGTCCCCTTACTAGGTGTATCAATTTTTGTTATAAATGAAATTCAATTGTGCTGTCGAGTTTGTTTGTAATGTAAATCTAGCCCATTCCATTTTAATATCCTACATTTGTCCTTGGGTGTTGGGCTACTTTTTCCATTGTCACTTGGTTTTGTAGTGGAACCTACTTCCTTCAAAATTAAGGGCTTTTAATAAATATACTCATTCTAACGTGACATTTTATTAATAAAAAAAACCATTAGAGAGTTTATTTAGAGAAAAAAAAAATCCTCAATAAGTCACTTGCCATTTCCTAATTGGTACTTAGTTTATTACAATTTTTTCACTTGAAAGTACAGAATGTAGTCTGAGGCTATATGTGGCACTAATTAAGCTGAGTTTATAGATAATGTTTGCTAATGAACATTTGTGTCAAAATCCCATTTTCTGTGAAGAGGAGCTCCTCCTCTGTTTAAAGGAGCCAAACGAATTCATTAACAAAAATATGTTTGTAGGAATATGGTGGGTAAACATTACATGGTGGCTGCAGCGAGTAATGAAAACTAAACTTATATATTTGGCTTGTTTTAAATATAGTTCAATGTGTATTAACCTATTAAAGTCCAAAAAAGTAAATTTAGTTGCAGGGCAGCATAAAAAATATACATTAAAATAGGTACACTTTCAATTCTGTTGTTGAACATATTTTCGTTTTGATAATATGTGTTTTTTTGGTTGCATTTAATATGTATTTGTTTTATGTTAAATTTTATTGAAAATTAGTCAATGGAGCTAGTTTATATGATTTAATATATACCTTTTCTTTCTAGAAAGACTAAAGAAACTGTAATGTTTTTTTTTTGAGGACCTTTTCTATTGAAAGGGGCGGTAGCATACTAAACTCACGCACACTACACGGATGCTAGGACTCGAACCCAGAAACTGTAATAAGTACAAAAAGAAAGATCATTAGATTTTAAAGCTAATAAATTTAGTTAACTCACCCGTACGTTGTCCTAATTCAGCCATTACATACACCTATTATAATGAATTCATAACAATACATTGTAACGTTTGTTCATATTTTTGTGCTTTCATGTTAAACATTAATAAACCCCTAGGCTTAAGACAAAACAAAAACCCTAGGCTCGTGTTTGGGTAGAATTATCTGTGATTTGAATGTTATATATGACAAACTAATGTTTCACGTGATAACACTATATGATAAAATTAGAGTACGGATTATTGAATAATGCTGTTAGAATAATTTTCTTGATTGCCTCCACAATTGATCATTATTTTATCATCATTTAAACATGTGATTGTTGAAACCATTATTTTTTTAACTAAACTCACTAAGTCTTACCTCTATAAATTCCATAGAAGGGAGAGCCTTGATGAAAGTGTGAAAGTGTTTTGATAATATTCAGAAACATGGTGAAATCAACAATTTCAGCTATACTGGTATTGGTGCTGCACCTTTTTGTTCTTCATCTTCAATATTCAGAGGTTCATTCGCTTGCCAATACCTCTGCTCATGGTAAACTACTTCCCCCGTCATTCATAAAAAGAAAACAAAAAAGGCAAATAGAACAGAAACCCTTACGTAGATGCTTGTGCTAAAGTTTTAACAACTCTTCCTCTCTTACACATTTTGCAGATTTTAGCTACTTGGAATTTGTTTACGATGCCAATGACACAAAGTTGGAAGGAACATACGACTACATTATTGTTGGTGGAGGAACAGCAGGGTGTCCATTGGCAGCAACTTTGTCAGCAAACTACTCGGTGCTTGTTCTGGAAAGGGGCACTCTTCCTACAGATTATCCAAACCTGTTGACTTCAGATGGGTTTATATATAATCTGCAGCAAGAAGATAATGGAGAGACACCAGTTGAAAGGTTCGTGTCTGGAGATGGTATTGACAATGTAAGAGGGAGGGTCCTCGGTGGCACGAGCATGATCAATGCCGGAGTCTACGTAAGAGCTAACACCTCGTTCTTTAATCAAACAGGGATTGAATGGGACATGGATTTGGTTAATAAGACATATGACTGGGTTGAAGACACTATTGTGTTCGAGCCAGATTTCCAATTTTGGCAAAATCTTACAGGAACTGCATTCTTGGAGGTTGGTATTCTTCCAGACAATGGATTTAGTCTGGATCACATAGTAGGAACTAGACTCACCGGCTCAACTTTCGACAATAACGGAACCAGACATGCATCTGATGAACTGCTTAATAAAGGAGACCCAAACAACTTGCGAGTTGCAGTTCATGCCGCAGTAGAGAAGATCATCTTCTCTTCCAATTCGTCAGGTATGCTTCCAAAGTTAATGTTTTATTATTTTGAAACATTACCAGCAGGATATTCATATCAAATACTGAATGTGCAAATAATGTTTCCTATTTTCGTTCGAGTTGTTTGATAATAATGATATGCTCTTATATATCTAATACAGGTGTGACCGCTATAGGAGTTATATATACTGATTCGAACGGAACGACTCATCAGGCATTTGTACGTGGTGAGGGAGGTTATATTGAGTGCAGGGCCAATTGGGTCCCCTCAACTTCTACTACTTAGTGGTGTTGGCCCAGAGTCATACCTAACATCTCTGAACATTTCAGTTGTTGCTTCCCATCCATACGTCGGGCAGTATATATATGACAATCCTCGTAATTTCATTAACATTTTGCCCCCAAATCCAATAGAAGCCTCAACTGTAACTGTTCTAGGCATTACAAGTGATTTCTACCAATGTTCTCTATCAAGCTTGCCATTTTCTATTGCACCCTTTGGTTTTTTTCCTAATCCAACTTATCCTCTTCCAAATACGACTTTCGCTCACATTGTTAACAAAGTTCCGGGACCATTATCTCATGGTACTGTCACGCTGCAATCAACCTCTGACGTGAGAGTTGCTCCAAATGTCACATTCAATTACTATTCGAATTCAACGGACCTTGCTCATTGTGTAAGCGGCATGAAGAATATTGGTGAATTCTTGAGCTCAGACGCATTAAAACCGTATAAAGTTGAAGATTTGCCGGGCATAGAAGGTTTTGATATTTTGGGAATACCTTTGCCAGAAAACCAGACAGATGATGCAGCCTTCGAAACATTTTGCCGAGAGGCAGTAGCCTCGTATTGGCATTACCACGGTGGATGCCTTGTCGGGGAGGTGCTTGATGATGATTTCCGTGTTACAGGGATCAACGCATTACGCGTCGTTGATGGCTCCACATTCCCTTCCACACCAGCAAGCCATCCTCAGGGCTTCTATCTGATGTTAGGGAGGTATGTTATATACACACTTACTTGCAACCACTAGAACTTCTCGATAATATATTTGGCTGAATGTCTTGTTTGTAATATTAATTCTACGCCATTCTGCTCTTTTCATCACTTTCAATTTTTTACTTTGGGCAGGTACGTGGGCTCTAAAATTCTGCAAGAAAGATTAGCTTCAGAGGAGGCTCTTCATAAGTCAACATTCCAACCCAAAATCTTAGAGTCGCTTGAGTCAGCATTATCCTTTGCTTTTGAAACTTAGTTGATAAACCCATGAGTTCTGACTAAAGTGGGATTAGGCTTAGGCTTAGGCTCCTTCTATCCGCCATGGCTTGGTGTAGTTTAATAAATTTTCCGCCATGACTTGGTGTACCTCTTTATTTCATGTTTAATAAATTTTCCTTTGTGATGTCCTAGTTATCATTGTGTACAACTTTTCCTTGCAAAACCTGAGTTTGAAAGGAAATGCTGCCCTAAAGCGTATATACTATCCGTTGATGTTCTTTTTTATATATTTTAATGTCGGTTATGGGATCAAAAGACAACAGCACGTTCAAAATGCAAGAAATTCCCGTATCAAGTGATTAATAACTTGATCGAAATGCCCCTAGTCTTAGTCTTATGAAGCCAGTGTATTTCCAACTCTACGCAGGCGTTTTTTTATTAGAAAATTTGGCATAAGTCCAATTATGAGGAGAGATTTTGGGTGCAATCCACGTAGAAATTGTTGTTGAATTGTTGTTGATTCAAGTCCTTTGATTAAATTGTATTGGGAATATTATCAAGGAAAAAAAATTCAAAATTCAAATTATGGAATTCAATTACAAGGAAATAATGCATTAAATTTAGATTTTCAATGTGTTTTCCTTATTTACCTTAAAGGGTAAAATCGACACAACGAAAAAGTAATAAATGTCAAAGGACCTACATCTAAAACAAAAAACGCGAGGACTAGACCCAATGACAGCTAATCGTTTTGGACCTAGATCTAAGAAGCCCTTTTTTTATTATATATTTTTGGTAATAACAGGGATTAATTGTTTTCACAACAATGATTAAGCATTATGATATTGCTCGAGAATATAATTGCATGCTGCTTTGCTATCGCAACATTGAAACACGTTTCTGCAAAGAGTGTTGCTAAACGAACCCTAAAATTAACTTACTATCCTAAGATCTAAGTACACCCTAATATTTTTATCAAAATGTAAAATTAACTAAGTACACCATATTTAACTACTAAAAATATACCCAGTGGTACACTCTAATACACTCTATCACACAACACCCTAATACTAATTGTTAATGTATGAATTTTGATTAATTCTTTTGGCTTCCCTTGACAATTTTGTAATAGGACTTTTTTATGCATTTATCAAGCTCAAGGTTAGATTAAGATTAGCATCTCTAAGTGTTCTTAACTCTCATCTATCCTATGGAGGTTCAAGCAATTTGACAAAGGTAAAATCATGCATTGCATATCATGCATTAAAACTGTTTTCATAAATTATGACTAGTCATCCTTGCTCTGTAGGATTTCCAGCTGGCTAACCATCTGTTTTGTCCTATTCTATCTTCTCTCTCTGCTGCCATGTGTCAGTCTGACCTAAGGGATTCTTTTGTCTGTAAAAGCAAGTGAATTCCTAATTTGGAAGCCGTCTCTTTTGTGTTGAAGTTTTGGAAAGATTGGCTTGCCAACTTTCTCTTCTTCTTCCTCAAGAGTAAACCATATATTTCATCTATGAGTTTTTTCTAATTGATTTCGTTTTGAAAAAACTGCTTTTGAAATATGAATCTTCATCTAGCTATCTAAATCATTCTCTCATATAGATCTAGATCGGCTTCGTGACTGATTTCTTCAAGAGTATGGTTTCTTGAAGAAATTGGTCTTTCTCCCTTGAATCCAAATTTTGGCTTTGTTCTAAGTTGGAGCTTGCAATCTAGTGCCATGGGATGATCGAGCTGGAGAAGGAGCTGCCATTGCCATGAAGAACTAAGTATCAAGCTTTGCTAAGTTGGAGGAGAAGATTGCACAAAGGAGGTATAGCTCATCTTCCTAAATAGATCTAGGTTTTGCTTGAGCTTGCTTGTATTCCTTTGTAAGAATCTTTTTCTACTTAGTGGATTGCCTAGTCGGTTGATGACTCCCAGTTTTTCCCAATGGTGGGTTTCTGGGTAAACAAAATCTGTTTTGCATATCTGTAAATTTTTCTGGGTATTGTGTTCTTGATGTTTGACTAGTCATCTATATCTGCTGTTTGCTGTTTGCTTGATAATGATGACTTCACACACTTTCACCATAGTTGTTGCTAGCACAGGGGATGCCTAGATTGATGGGTCCTTGTGAGTGCCTAGGTTGTCACTAGTAATCTTCTAGGGCTGCAGGTACTTTGTGGCATGCTCTGTGTGTTCTCTTGATTGTTGAGTTGTTGTGTCTTGTTTGTTGAGTTAAATTTACCCCTCGTCACCTAAGTATCAATTTCACTAATCCTAAATTTGGTTTCTCTTTTTACATGAATTCGTGCCCTCTTTTCAGATTTTGGGTTTGCATCAAAATCTTTAATTTCGTGAGTTGTTGTGGGAGTAGATTTGCTAGCTCCTTCAATTCGAAGCTTGATTCTTGTAAATTCTTATGATTTTCTTTATTTATTTCTTATTTTTGGATTGAACTTGTCGCCCTCCAAATATGTTCTATCATCTAATGAAAGTTTTATGAGTTCCTTTCTTTTTCTTGGGTAATGGATGATTATGACCTCCATAGACAGAGAAGGGATTTGAAGCACAAAGGAAAGAACGTTGTTTGGTCAGTTGCAATGGATAAGTGTTTAATTGATGCCTTAAATGTTCAAGCTAGAAATAGAAACAAAATTGACAAGTGCATTAATGAAAATGCGTACACTGCTGCTTGTATTGCTTTGAACTTTCCTTGTGCCTCCGCCAATTCTTGATACGTTGTTCGCCATGGGCACCAGGCAATACGAAAACTTCTCTGCATTTGATTAGGGTTGAATATGGTGAGTATGGTGTACTTATTAAAATTATATTTGTTTCACAATTCAATATATCCTTTTTGATCATTTTATATTAGGATAAATTAGTAATTCAATAAATACTTTGGTAGTTGGGTGTACGCGGATAATTTTAGGATTCGTTTAACAACACTCTTCTGCAAATTGTTTATGGAATAATTTAAGCCCATCTCTGCTTTCTTGCAGCTAGGCAAGTCGAGTCAGGTCTTTTTCTTTCTGTTTTTTTTCTAAGTCTTTCAACTCTTTTTGTTACAAATTTTTAGACAACAATGAAAAAACTAATTTAATTCATAACATGTGTAAAAAAAATTAAAAAGTTTCTTAATTCATAATATATATTACATTACTTCAATTAAGTCTAAAATAAGGTTAGGGAGTGTCTTCAGTCAAATCGATCAGTAATAACAGAAATATGAAGGGTTCATATCATTTGACAACATAACATGTAACAAGGTTGGCCTCACACATGAGAAATTATAGAATACTATGATAGTATGGCCATGTGATACATCTTGTACATGTGTTATAATATGGATGAGCGACATGGTTTATTTTCCCCCTTTTTTGGGAATATTTATTAAAAAATTTAAAATCCAAGTCAAATATAAAATAAAAAAATTAAATAGTTTTAAAACTTTTTTAGGGTTTCCCAATCATAGTCAAACTAGACACAACCTCCAGCATCAAACCCACCACCTAGTCAGACCACCGCCATCGTAAGAAGCACTATAGCAAACCTCATTGTCACCCCTACCCAAGCAACCCCATCCACACTATCAACACCACTACCATCCACACCAAGAACCCCATCCACATCACCCGCACTAAATCCGACTACCACCATCCAATTGAACCCTGTTAATGTATGCATTTTGAGTATTTCTTTTGGCTTCCCTTGACAATTTTGTAATAGGACAATCATTGTATTTTCTCAAGCTGTAGTTTAGATTAAGAATTACATCTCTAGGTATGCTTATTTGGCTACATTATGATGGACAACAATGGGTTCGACAAAAGGTAAATCTTGCATTGCATTTTCTAACTTCTGAAGATTATGACTAGTCATCTTTCCTTTGTATGACTAGTCAACCTCTGCCTCAGTGAGATTTCCAGCTCACTGTTTCCAGCTGGACTCTACCCATCTATTTTGTCCTATTCTGCGAAATTCCCTGCTGCCTTGTACTCCATCTATTTTGTCTTATTCTGCCAAATTCCCTGCTGCCTTGTACGATTCTAACCTATGAATTTTTGTGTAAAAGGCAATGCATTCCTCAATTGGCAACCGTCACTTGGGTAGGCAAGTTTTGGAAAGTTTCTTTGTAAACTTTCGCTTCTTCCTCAAGAGCCATCTTCATATTTTTCATCTTTGAGTTTTCCAAATTATTTCTTTTTGAAAACTGCATTTGAAATATGAAAACCTCATCTTGCTAGATCAAACACTCTCTCATATATATATCTAGGTCAGATT